TGCCTATCACATATGTCTATTTACGTAGTCTCTTTCTGGCAGTCACTCTATCACGCACTCACGCTGCACGGTCATTATAATTCTTTTTTCTTTCTTATCTGCGTCTGCTACCGTCGCATACAATCACAAACGAATTTTTCCGAAGAGAAACGCGCGTGTCGCTCTGTATTCTTTCTTCCTTTCAAGCGTTCCCTCCGCACTCACTCGCACATTTTCTCCCTGTTTCTCTCTTCGTTCCACAAACACGCGAACAAATACACACGATCTCGCACGCTCGTTTTTAATCTCTCCTTCGTGGTTTTTCGTTTAGCCTTCTCGCACGCAACCTCCCTACCGTTTCCGATTTCTCTCCGCCCGTTCTCTCACTCTCTCACTCTCTCGTAAGAGCGCCACAGCTTATTTCGCTCGTCTTCGCGCGTCAACAGAGTGGATAAAAAATTGTTAAAACCATTCTCGACGTGGTCGTACCGCGTCGAGTGTCCCGCCGTTTGCTGCCGACGAAATCGTTCGCCTGGGCGACGTGATTGTGAAGCGGGATTTAAACAGTTTCGCCATCAGTGTTGTATATTTGTGACGATAGTCATGTGACATTTTCACGCTACAAGTTCGAAGGGTTCAAATAATTCATTTTGAATTTCTTATACAATCATTGAAAATACACAGATGATTTTCTGAGAAATCATGAAACAAATTAATGCAGTACCTAGTCAGTTTGACTGTTCGGTAGCTCTAATGTTAAGGAAGGAAAGACAAATTATGTTCTCAGAGGTATCTGTTGTTCCAATCCTATAAATATCGAGTGCTTCTAAGACTATGATCCGAATTATCACTTTTATTCTAACATTTTCCAGAATTAAAGGTAGTTACAAAAAATATCAAAAGATTTAAATTATCGACGAATGGGATAACATATGCAACGAAGAAAGAATTTGAAACAATTTGGAAGAACTGAACGAAACTAGAAATTAGAAAGTCCTCTTAGAAGGATTAATATTGTAAGGCTGTATAAAGTTTGAATGGCAGTCATAACACATTAATTGATTATCGGAATATCAACAACTCTACTTTAGATTTGTTAAATATTTCGTAAAGAGCATAATTTAGTGAAATAGTGTTACGGGAACTATCATTGAAACAAATGTTGGCAGCAAACGTGTTAAATGAGTGAAAGTGCGAAAATCGTTGGCGAACGATCAAACGCGAATGCGCATGAAAGAAAAAAAAGCAAAGAAAGAAAGGAACAACCGATTCTCTTGAGTTCAAGCTTCCGATAAGATAAGGAGAGAAACTATTGTCAAATCGATATCGCGTAAGAAATCGAACGGGTAAAATAGATGCGCGATGACTATATTACAATCGTACGAATGTGATTTGCGCGAGACAGAACGCGCGGTACAACCCGTCGAAGCAGTTATAAACTCTTTTGAAACACCCTGTATATATATTATATATATAATATTAATAATCAATAATAATATCAGTTTGTATTGTACAGGCTATTTTTGGGGCTGAAAGCCTGTGGTCTCTCTAATATTTTACTTAAATCCCTCTCTCTCCCTTTCTCTCTCTCTTTCTCTCGTCGTACCCATACGCTTTCTCTCGTCATTACACTCTACTTAAGTTATTCTTCATTATTTTTTATTTGTTTGTTTCATTAATAATATATTTAAATTTCGCTCCCGCCTAGGTGCAGCAAGGTGTGACAAATAACGAAATTAATCACGTTTCCTGTCGTTTCCTCGCCACTCCTCTTCAGCTCTTATTATTTTCCCCTCCGAAATCGTCTTCCTTCACAATTTTTCCTTTCGCTTTTCTTTTTTTTATCATTTTTCTTAAGTTCTTTAACGAAATAATCATCGTA